TCCAATACCCAACAAAGACACATGGTTTTGTTATATGAATGATTCATTTGATGAGAAACATCCAATAATGAATTGGCTTTATGAACGTATGATTTTATTTCAACATGATCATTGGATGTATTTCATCAATGATAAATGTTTTACACGTGCATTGCATTGTGTGGTGGGAGCCGGTGAGGGCTCGGGTTGATGTTCGTAAGTGTCATTTAATCTCATTTCATGGCATGACATGGTAGATTCTAACATGTAATGCATATATTATTAATTGGAATGGTTATATGATTATGATTGTTGCATGCAAATATTTCATATGCACTTAAGTGGGGAGTAGCTTATGTAGGAAATACTCTACTGGGCATTGGCTCGCCCTATACAGGAACACATTTCAAGTGCGGAGTTCGTACCGGTGAAGGACTCACATATGGGACCTCAACAATGAAGAAAAGCCGAGTTGTGGCTTTTAAAAACGAGTTTTTGTAAAACTCTAGTTAAATTCTATTTTGTAATATATTTTTTATAAACTTGTAAAATTACGGTGTTGAGTATGAGATCGTGTAAATGGATTGTAATAGAACTTGTAGAGATCAAGTTTTATGTGATAAACATTGTTAAACATGTGTTAGATGGTGTTGGGATGATTTGAAATGGTTTTGAATGGAAAAACAGTGGAAATAGGCTGAACTGGGCAAGGAGTACTGGTACTGTCTGGTCCAGCAAGCAGACTGTACCGGTACTCTTTCCAAAACTTATAAAAAAATTTTTGAAGGCAGACAGTATCGGTATAGTCCAGACGGTACCGGTAGTGCCAGGGCCAGTGAACAAACAGTACCAATACTGTCTCCGAAACTTTGAAATTTTGACACTAAGGTGCCATGTTTTTGGACAAAGTTTTCCTTGGTTGCAATGATACAAATGAACATTACACGAGGTATATTGGACCTTGGTTGGATTAAATGATTAAAGTAACACGGGTTACACACGTGTGAGTTAAAATTTTGAATAATGGAATAATATTAGTGTGATGTCGAATCAAGTGACCCTCACGGGTCTTTCCGCGGGTTGACTGGTCGTCAACGGGACCCCCAATTTATGGGGCGTCACACTGGTCTAGTAGCCAAAACCTACCGGTAGGTTTTTACTTGTTTTGCTGATTTCTTGGTTCCTCCACCTTTCAAGCTATCGTTAAGCCACCATCTCATCTCATATCCTCTCAAAATCCATGATACGGCCTAACAAGCACCATTTAAGTACCTTTACCTGTAAACATACCAAAACTCCATTAATAGCTCAAACATTAAAATTTCGCTCATTTCAACCGCAAAAGCAAGTATAAAAGGAATGTAAATGTACATAAGATATTCAATGTTTTGTGCTAATCACTGACCACTGCCATTACGCAATATAGAACCTCCACCAGAAGATCCTGGATTTCCTTTTGAAGCCCCATAAGAATTCAACTTCAATACCTGATGCGAAGGAGGCAACCATTTAACCCAGAGAGCTTTAACTTGAAAGTTGGGTGGTCTTATGTTAAGAAACTACAATAATTCTCTGCCTAGTCCACTATCTGTTGCCCTTGGTCTAACTACGTAACTCTGATACCTTAGAATTTGTATAATTATGCTAGCCACACATTTAGGAGTCTACTTAACTCCTTCAAATACACTTCTGCACGTCTCCCTCCATAGCCGCCAAAATATCAACAACATTGTACCTCGAATAAGAATATGACTTAAAGAAAGCTTCTAAAAAATTTTTGTAATCCTTAAAAATTTGGTAATAGGATCCTCATTCATAATAATCTGAAAACCCATCATAGTAGAGAAAATAACCCACAAAGACTGTGCAAATTCACAAGAAATAAAAAGATGAGCTAGAGTCTCTATTCCTTTTTCACATAATGCACACCTATTCGCCAAAGAAACCCCCAATTTTTGAAATCTTGAATCCAAAGGCAAAGCATCTTTATTGATTTTTCAGCCATGTAACTGAGCACTTTGAGAAAATTGTTGCTTCCATATCATAGAGGCTTTAACATAAACTAACTTTTTCATCCTAATCAACTCCCAAGCTGTCTTAATGGAGGAAGACAGTAGGAGAGATATCCATTCTCAAAATCAATGGACCAGTACCTAACCAATTATCATGCCAAAAATCATCTTCCACGCCATTACCTACAGCCATTTGTGAATTAGAAACCACAAGCTCAAACCACGATGCTAAAGACTTATATAGCCTAGACCTAGATGGTCTTCTAAATTTGAGCAAATGTTGATTCCCAATATACTTGCTAGGAAAAACCTTAGACCTAAGAGAGGACTCATTATATAAATTCCACACTTGTTTCATTCTAAAAGCTCCAGCAATATCTTCAAACCTCCTCAATCCTAAACCACCCTCTTCTTTGGGATTAGTTTTCTCCTTCAAAGAACGCATATGCCTTTTCCTGAATTCTAGCTTATTGGACCAAATAAAACCTGCCATTATAGAATGCATCCTTGTAATAATACCCTTGGCACTACATCCCTCCTACTTTGGTTTACTTCTAACCTTGGGTGTTGAAGCAATACAACAAATGCACCGGAATGGCACTAAACACTGACTGCACCAACACAACTTTGCCTATATTAGATAAAAGCTTGGAATACCACCCCTCCAGTTTAGACCTAAATTTCTACAGAACATCCTTAAAATTAATCTCATTCTACCTTTAATAATGGGACATCCCAAATAAATAAAAGGGAATCTTTTGATAGGAATCTTAACAACATGATTGAGCATATGTCTTCTAGTAGGTGTAATTTTAGAGGAACAAAACATTGAGCTCTTTTGAATATTAACTTTCTATCCTAAAGCAAGCTCATATTTAGAAAGCAAAGCAACCAAACTAACCACATACCTCTTATCCCCTCTTAAAAACACCAGTGTGTCATCAGCAAACAACAGATGACTCAAATGTAAAGATCGTCTCCTAGTATGAAAATTCTTAAACAAACCTCTAAGACATAAATCTCTTAATCCTCTTCTAAGTACCTCCTCTGCTAGAATAAAGAGACTAGGGGATAAAGGATCCCCTTGTATCAATCCTCTAGAAATATCATATCTCTGACCATTTAGAAGCAACAAACAGTTCTGATTGCTTATACAATTAGTAATAGTTGAAATAAACAAATCTGAAAATCCAAAAGACTCCAAAGTTCTCCTAAAATAATCCCACTCTAATCTGTCATAAGCTTTCACCATGTCCAGTTTCAGAATTAAATTACCTCCCTCCACTTTCCTGTCTAGTTCACTGGCCATAAATTGTGCCAAAGTGATACAATCCCCTATGTTTTTGTTTGATACAAAACCATGTTGTTCCTCTAAGATCAAAGAAGGCAATAAACTTCCCAATCTAGTAGCTAAAACTTTAGTGAATATCTTGTATAAAAATTGCAAAGACTTATAGTCTGAAATTTTGAAAAATGTGTAGGATTTTACTTCTTAGGAATAAGAGACAGCAAAGTTGAATTTATTGACCTTGGAATAACTTCACCATTTATAAAGAAATAACTGCTAACAACACATCATGCTTAATTATTTCCCAAGAAACTTGGAAAAACTTCCCTGAGAATCCATCAGCTCCATGTGCACTTTCCACAGGCGTAGAAAATACTACATCTTTGACCTCCTCCATTGATGCCTGTTTAGTCAGCATTTCATTATCATCAGCAGAAACAGACTGTGGAATAATCTTGAATAAATCCTCTTGCAAAACATGAGTTTCAGAAGAACAAAGGTTAGAGAAAAAAGTTTATGTACAAGCTGCCATCTGAGTCTCTTCGTCCAACCAATGTCTATCATCATCTTGGATTTTCCTTATTCTATTTCTCATAGCTTTACCCTTTGCCAAATCATGACATAACCTTGTATTCTTCTCACCATCCGTTGCCCACTTAATATTTGCTTTTTGTCTTCGATAAATTTCCTCCAACCTAAGTGTCTCATCCAATTGGTTTTTTGCCTGCCCAAGAGCCTGATTATGTAACTTTGTAGGAAACCGTTCCATCTTCCTTTTAGCTAATAACAACAACTCTTGCCTCTTAATTCTTTCAAAAATATTCCCAAAAACTTCCTTATTCCGAGTCTTAAGATGAGCTTTTTAGTACTTTAGCTTTAGGAAAACATTAGGATGACTTTGTTATTCAAAAAAATTTACATGCAAAGGAAAATGGTTTGGCTTTCTTCTTGCCACATGATCCACCTCTGTACTATAAAACTTGAAATTCCAAGCAGCATTTAATAGGGGTCTATCCAAACGTTGCCACATTCTTGTAAATCCCTGATGATTATTACACCTTGTATAACTACTCCCAGAAAAACCATAATCCAACAAACTAGCTATTTGAATAAAATTTCAAAACTCATCCATAGAAAGAAAGTTAGGAGTAGAACCTCCTAGCCTCTTTGAAGAACTGAGAATGGCATTAAAATCTCCAATTACCATCCAAGGTTGAGATGATATATTCAAACTAAGTAGATGGTCTCGCAGAGGCCTCCTTAACACGTAATCACAACATGCATAGATAAAAGACAACATAAAAGGCTCATATCCCATAAAAGAAATTTCCACCATTAATGATTGGTCAAAAGCCTCTATAACCTTAACACTTACTCTATGATCCCATAGCAATCATAAATTTTTATTTGCATTTGGATTAGCAACATAGAAATTTTGATTCAAAAAAGAAGATAGACCCGGAAGTTTGGAAGGATCTTGTTTTGGCTCCAAAATGGAAACTAAGCAAGCATCCTTTAGACTAATGGGCTTCTTAAGACGCCTTCTAGTAGCATCTTTCCTTGTACCTCTAATATTCCATGATAATAAATTAATCATTTAAATGAGAGCATGAATCAGCTAAACCCCTAGATTTGCATATAGTAAGAACACCATTATAATTAAAAACCCCTTGCAAATTACTATTTCTATTATATTCCCAATTTGAACTTTGTGAACCAACATCAGTACATTCTGTAGAAGCCTCTGTATTTGAAACATATCCCTTATCAAGTGGCTCTGCTGACCTCTGCAATCCTCTATCATCATCCAAAGACAAACCATCTGAACTGTGCACTAGATAATTTTGATCAATCAAAAACGTAGCAGCAGCTTGAACTTCTGGCAACGATGGGGCTATCTTGGTCTGAACCATTAATGATGAACAATTATCTTTGGCAACTACTAAATTCAAATGAGTATCCTTAGTTACTATTTTGGTGGTATTTGAATTATCAACATCTTCTTGCAAGTCGTGCTCACCACGTACTCGAGATAAATTCTGCCCCGAAACATTTACATTTTAGCCATGTTGAATCACTACATCAGCCTGTATTGTAGAATGCAACTCCCCACCTTGTAATTCATTCTCACCTTGTTGCTTGGTTGGAATGTCTTCAAGACTTTGATAATTTTGAACAACTGCTTGATCAGATTCATTCATGACTGGCATACCGATATTCGCCTCCTTGCTTAATTCCTTCAAATTCTACGTTTCCAATACCTTCCACCTCACCTTCGAAGTAGATGGATTGTTCCTTAAAGATACTGGCTTACTCTTGGCTTGATTCTGCAACTTTGCTGTGTTCACTGTTTCCTTTCCAACCTCTACCTTCCCCTTCCTTAATCTTTTCCCATTTTGTGAATCAATACCTTAGTCCTGCTCATTCAGTTTCTTCTTTCTACATTCATAATCCATAGAGCCCTTCTTAAAACAATTAGAAAAATACTTGACTTTTGTCTCATAAATAAATTTATGCTATCTGCCCGTATAACCTCCCATCTCTAACCATATTCGTTGTGGAGTTTCCTCCTTCACATCCATCTCCACGCATGCTCTTACCATAACAGGCCTTGTAAGATTCATGGTAGGTCTTTAAAAATCCATTATTCTTCCTACTGCGTTTGAGATCGCTGTAATACATTCGTTTGTAAAATGACACATAGGCAACAAAGGCAATGATACCCACATTGGCACCACAGATGACTCCACTCTAGGAACAAAATCCAAAATCCAAAATCCACTTAAAGAATCGAAACATACGACCTTCAATATAGGTTACATCCTTGAGCCATACCTTCACATAATCTTCAATATAGGTTACAATTAATGTGTTAGGGAGGGAAAATATCCTGGTAATAGAATATAATGGTGATTTAATCTTATCTGGAGAAAATGTGAATTATTTAATCCTAACATTTGAAGTTTGTAGGTATCTTCATTGGAAACCTTCATGAAATAGAACTCGTCCATTAGGGATCACCTAGAGGTTTAACGGCTTTTTACATATACTAAATGAAATTGTGAAATCTATGAGAGTGATTTTGTTTTATTTGTTTATTTTACTACCGTGGACTAATATTGTTTGGTTGGGGGTGTGATTAACCCTAAAGAATGTGTAATTGAATCAGGGTTTACAGTCAATTGTGTGTGTAAAAACTAAGTTAAATTGATTAATTTATAAAGTATTAGGGTAAATGCAAAGTTTGTAGATTTCACAGTGTTTTAATGATAATAATGGAAATCTAAGGGGACCAAAGTGCAAAGGCTAAATGAGGAAGGGGAGGAAAATATAAATCACAAGTCAACAAAGGAAGGTTGGCCAAGCAAGAAAAACAGAGAAATGCTACCATCTGGACGGTGGTGATGGCGTCCAGATAGTGTTTAAACTGTTTCAATTCTCTCTCTTCTCCCATTGGTCCAATTGAGCAACAAAACACCCTGATTGGTCTATTTGGGTGTTTGCCACCTTAAACCACCTCTACACTGCCTATAAATACCTGAGTTTAGCCATTTTTTTAGAGATTCGCAAGAGAGATCATAAGAGTTCAAGACAGAGAAAGAGAGACTTTAGGAGGAGTTTCAATCAGGAAACAAGCGACACCCTACCCTAATTACTTATCGGCCAAAATTTTCTCTACTTCTATATTGCTATTTATCCTTTCTACTTGGAGGGTTGAACCTCTCTCACTTTTGTGCCTTAGTTGGTAATAAGAGTGGCAATGTTTAAGGGAAAATACTTTGTGTATTTTGTTTTAAGTGGTGATGGGATTATATCACACCTTTTGTGCCTTAGTTGGTATAATGAGGCGTGAGTAATCTGTTTATACTCTTCGGTGAAGAGTGAATGCATGTGTAATATTGTTTAAGTTATGAAAATGCCGATGTTTTATTTATGTGTTAATGTTTATATCTCCCTTAATTGATGGATGATTACTGTTATAATATGATCATGGTTATGAACACCGAGTAGAGCTTAATGCTATATACCATACTATCTATAATACTACATACTTCATGCATGATACAGTGACGTGCCTAGTTGGGCTTTATGTAACTGTTGGGAGATTGGTTATTGACGGGTTGAATCTCGGCATAGTTAATACTTTTGATTCAGTGCATAAATCAAAACTCTGTCTTCATTGAATTATTAACCTGTCGATTGAATAGCTAGAGTAAGCAATTTGAATGGTTCAACTTTGGGTTTACTAGGGTTATTTGATTGTTGCATGTTACATAAACCTTCCGGCTAACCTAATAAGTTGTTGTGATATGGTTTAGTTGTACATCAAACCTATCGGTTAACTTTTCAACAAAATGGGAGTTAATTGTTGTGAGGTGACATTTTCATAAATAAACATTATAAAGCATGTTGGATCCTCACATTGAAGAATACTTTTATTATTGTTATCGAAAGTTTTAGGTAAGTGTTTATTTGACAATTCTAAGCTCACATCACAAGTTGTTTTGAATACTAACAGTTAGCTCCCTGTGGGTTTGACCTTGGACTTAACCGTGAAATATTACATCATAGCTAGATATCAGAGCCTAAGTTCTCGAATTACCTAGGGCTTGCTAGGGATGGGTCTAAGTTATTGCATCCATTGTGCATTGTATGTTACATGTATTAAATGTTGCTTCCTATGTGTTATGAGATTATATGCAAGATTAAAGGTATATAGGAATGAGACACTAGGGTTAAAAAATATAACCTTAGAGCTAGTATAGGAAATAGTGGGAAAGCCTACTGTTTGGGCATTTATCAGTAGGTACTATACCTCATACCGGTAGGACAAGAAGAAATTTTTCAAAATTTTTCTATGGTTTTTACTTTTGATCCCTAAATTTGGGATACAAAGTTAGTGGTCTATTGCTATCTTATGTGTATGTAGATGGTAACTAGAGGAAGGGAATGCCGGGGTGGACGGATCAATCAAAAACCACTACCACTTGCTTTAGATCAACAAGTCTTCATGGAGGCTATGGGTACTGTGACTGCAAACCTAGTTTAAACAAGCACCAACAAGGGACAAAGAGGCTCAAGTAACCTCCAAAAATTTACGTCCCACAAGCCACCTACCTTCAAAGGGGAAGCAGATCCGATGGTAGCCGACCATTGGTTCCAACAAGTGGACAAGCTTCTAGAGGTAATGTAGATCACATCTGATGCCAACAAAATATGACTAGCCACGTTTTAGCTAAAGGGTGAGGCCCATCAATTCTAGACATGGGCAAGGACCTCGAGATATATCGAGACGATAACATGGGAAGAGTTCTAAGAGCACTTCATAAACAAGTACTTCCCTTTAGCTTTTCGGCTAGTGAAAGCCCGAGAGTTTCTAGACTTGAAACAAGGAATGGTGACGGTCATGCAGTATGTGGCCAAGTTCTTAGAGTTGGCACTTTTTTGCAGATGACTACGTGGCCACAGTTTTGGCCAAGGTATGGAGGTTTGAAGATAGCCTAAAGCTATCCATCCATGGGAAGATTGTTAGCCGCAGGTTGCAGGACTTTGACTAGATGGTTGAGGCAGTTATGGCCATTGAGATAGAAGTTGGAGATGCCAAGAGTATTCAAAAGGCCATATCAAAGGAAAAGAGAAAGGAGGGGCAATCCTGCACAACTAGCTTAGAGAAGAAATAGAGGACTTTAACCCCGCAAGGTTCATAGGGATAGGGCTAAGGCTATCAAGACCAACCTTCCCAAGGTGGGAAAAACTCTAGGGGCACACCACAGGGAGGCCTACAGACATTTTCTATTGCCATCAGCTGAGTCACTTGAAGAGAGAGTGTTCGTAGAGGCAAGGGGAATAGAGCTATATGGTATCTTAGTCCCAATTATTAGTGGGACCACACCAGACCTTCTATGTTCCTCCTTTCTCCACCATAGGTCAAGGGAGCCAGCACTAGTATCAAACTATAATGCAAGCCTCCACAGCTTCACGTGTGGGGATACCATAAACTTTATCGGTAGATCAGTTGGTACTTCATAGAATTTTGACAAGATGTGTTGGGGTTGTGAGTTGGAGATCAAAGGACCTAGCACATCGTTGAACTTAGAGTCATGGAGATGTCAAAGTTTGATGTTATACTCGAGATAGATTGGTTGGTAGCATGAAAGGTCGTCATTCATTGTGAGTGTAAGAGGGTTACAACCTACACTTCATCTGGGGTTTGTTTCAAGTTTTCGGGGGAGAAGCACCATGCTTTACCCTAGGCTGTATATGACTATCGATAGTATAGATAGTTGATGGGTTGTCTTGCTAGCCCTATCCTGGACGATGAGGCGAGACAATAGATGGGTCTGCCTCAAGTCATGTGTGACTATGCGGATGTCTTTCGAGATGAATTATCGGGGTTACCACCGCAGTGGGATGTAGACATCACCATTGAGTTATGCTGATAGATATTGAAAAGGGATTGAATGAGCTTAAATTGAAGAATTGAATTTTATTATTTATTTTAGTATTATTTTATTATTTATTTTAGTATTATTTTATTAGTTAGGAAATATTTGTTTGACTAGGAGTATTAATTAGAGTTTAACTATAAAATTATTATAGAATTTCAGTAGGATAAGGATTTAGGAGTTTGATTATGAAACTCTTTTAGTATTTTAGCGGCGATGTCGAGAGAAAAAAAAAACTCTCCCAATTGATTCAAAAAATTACAGCAACATCCCAACTGTTTCAAAAATTATAGAAACACCCCAGAAATTTTTAGAAGTTGTAGAACCACCACTAGAAGTTTTAAAAATTATAGAATCTTCCCCCCAATAGTTCTAGAATTGCAGAAACAGTCTCAACATATCCATTAAATTACAGAATTATCCCCAAAAAGTTTAAGAATTTCCTCTTGATTATGATGGTTTCCAAC